GACACTGAATATGCCTACATTGTCATTTGAGTTTTTATGGGATAAAATCAACTGGTATTTTGTACATAAGAAGTCAGAACTCTCAGTATTTGCCTTGTAGACAGCCTTCTCACAGACTTGGTAAAAGACTCCACAAACAGGCCATAAAATAGCAGAGATAATCTCTTTTATGCAGTGATGATCCCTTGTAATTTTTAGCATTGACAAGAAGTGATTTTAGTGTGCTTGGAGTGGGTGAGATAAAGGGAAAAATGACCCATTTTTAGAAAGTAGTGAGTCCTATCACTCCATGACAAATCAGCTTATTCAACTTAAGTCAGTGCAGCCTGTTGTTGTGACAGGAGAACATGATTCCCTTTTTTAATATGCTGCAAAGTGCATGTGTAAAGACCTCTACTGTACTTTTGTGGCTTATATGCAACCCATGGGCAAAGCTTAGAGGATTAATCCTCAAGGGTCCCTGGCATTCTTAAATTCATGCTTTTGTGTAATCGCTTCAAAAAGTGTCACTTGTGGGTCTTTCCTTGTATTACCATGGCTTGGCCTGTTCCAAACTTCTTGATGAATGACAGGAAAGTGATGGAAAGAAAAAAAACAGCAAAGATGGCAGGAGGTCTGCATAGATAAACAAGCAGCTCCTATCCGAAATCAGACATGAAAAGAAGTGCATAAGACGTGAAAGCAGGAACAGATGACCTAGCAGCATAAAGACGTTTTTTGATCTTGCAGGGTTAGGAAAGTCAAGGCCAGCCTGGAGTTGAGTCTGTTAAGGGATGTGAAGGGCAGTAAGGAAGGATCTACATGTACATAAACAGCAAAAGGAAAAAGACTAAGGAATGACATTGCTGAATGAGGCAGGGAACTTTGTGACAAATGATACAGAAAGTGCTGAGGCACTCAATACTTTCTTCAATTCAGTCTTTACTAGCACCACCAGCTTTCAGAAATCCCAGGTCCCTGAGACCAGAAGGAATGTCTGGAGCAAAGAAAACTCATTAGTAGCAGAGGAGGACCCTGTTTACTGTTTGACAAAAGGGACATACATAAATCCATTGGGCTGCATAGAATGCATCCATACGTGCTGACAAAGGTGGCAGATGGGAGAGATTTCTAAGAAATGGAAGAAAGCAAACATCATTCCTACATTCAAAAAGGAAAAGAAGGAGTACCAGGGAACTACAGGCTGGTCAGCCTCACCTCAATCCCTGGGAAGGTGATGGAGCAACCAAACCTGGAAACTATTTCCAAATACATGAAATCATGCTCAGCCAGCCTGTGGGGCTGTTCGTGGAGTCTGTTACCAAGGCTGTGAGTAAATAACATTAAATGCAAGTTGCTCAAGTTGACTGTTTAGGTTTTAAGCAAAGGAAAAAATAAACCGAGACAATTTACTTTGCTGAACTGTCTTGTGATCAAAGACCTATTTTACACCACTGATGAAAGAATAGGAAAGGGAATAAAAAGCGAGGAAGGAAGACAGTAAGGGTGCAAGGGTTTGCAGCTGGCAATATGAAGCCACCTCTGAGAGCTGCTGTCATGGGTGGAGGAGTTGGCAGAGGACCAAGGGTTGTTTGTGTGGTTTGATCCAAAGTGCAAAAGAAATCAGAAGGGCTTCTTTAGATTTACATGCTTTACTTGCATTGTCTTCATCCTCTGGGTATCACATTAAGAGTACTCTCTACTGGCAGTCAAAACTGCAAGCCTTGGCTGCTAATTTTCATAGAATCACAGAATGGTTTGGGTTGAAAGGGACCTTACAGATCATCCAGTTCCAACCCCCCCTCCCATGGGAAGGGACACCTTCCACTAGACCAGGTTGCTCAAAGCCCCATCCATCCTGGCCTTGAACACTGCCAGGGATGGGGCAGCCACACTTTCTCTGGGCAACCTGTGCAGTGTCTCACCACCTTCACAGTGAAGAACTTCTTCCTAATGTCTAATCTAAATCTACTCTTCTTCACTTTAAAGCCATTCCCCCTTGTCCTGTGACTACATGTACTTGTAAGAAGCCCCTCTCTAGGTTTCTTGTAGACCCCCTTTATGTACTGAAAGGCTGCTATAAGGTCTCCCTGGAGCCTTCTCTTCTCAATGCTGAACAGCCCCAACTCTCAGCCTGTCTTCACTGGAGAGGTGCTCCAGCCCCCTGATCATCTTCATGGCCTCCTCTGGACTCATTTGAGTAAGTTCACATCACTCTTGTGTTGCGGGCCCCAGAGCTGAACACAGTGCTCCAGGTATTCAACTCACCTTCATTCTTTGCATTCCCTGTTCCTGCACAAAATTGCAATATTAAGATAGATCTTATTTTCTCAGGCCAAACATGCCAATACTCCACCATGTGTGAGCCCTGAAGAGAGGGCACGCTGTGACAATGCTCTGCCCTTGTCCTTATGGAAGCAATGACCCAGAGGTTGTGGGCAAATTAGTCGTTTACATTCCTGTAGGCAGACAGGCAGAAAAAGACCTCAAATGAAAAAATATCTCAATAGTGCCTCAGCTTCACACAGTCTCCCCAAACCCTTTTTCCCTAAAGAATGAACTGTCTTAAGAGGTCTGCAGTCTAGGATGCTTTATCTGTAAGAAAAGCAGACCAGGACAAATTTAGTTCCACCACACTCAAGATACAGGTTCTGGAAGGAAAGGCAAGACACATGTTCTGTATTTTTAACTCAAATGGGGACATGTGGGAGTTACCATGTCCTGGGGAACCAGAATACTTTGGAGGTCTGTCTACATTTGTTTATCTCACTGGCTTCTGCAATGCTGACTATGGAAACAGTGAGCTATTTCAGCTTTTCATTATCTATCACCTACAACCTAGTTTAGTATTTCAGTTCTGTGGTGTTATTTTAGTTCCAGGAATTAATGCACCCCTCCAGAGGAACTCGATCAAAGCACGGGCTTGACAGCTACTGTATGTGTGTCAGATAGTTATGCTGGGGTTTCCAAGAGTCACTGAGATTCGAATACAAGGTCTTCCAGGGACATGCAATGGATAAGGCAACGAAAGTAGCCAGCCCAAGAAAAGTAAACAGCCAGATCACAACACCTGGTTGGAGACTTTGATGATGTGACAAAGCTGATACTGGTCTCAGCTGGCAAGCAGTACTGTTGGGTTCAAAAGGCCAGAGAATATGTTAGGGAAGGCTCTGAGGGGAATGAAAATAAGCCTAAACAGAAATCATGGAAGCACATCTGGGTGTATTTCCAGCCATAATCCAGCTCCCTACCTGTGTGGCAGAAAACTTCTACTACCTGTGTGTACCATGTGTGGCAGACAAACTTCTACTCTCCCCATCTGAGAAACTGGAGTCAAAATGTAGTGCAGGAGAAGAGGTCTCCAGAACGCAGGATTGTGTGTGTGCCTTTGCACACAAAGGCCACTTTGCATACAACATGACTGAGTCATTCATCAGCCCAAGCATGTCTCTCCGTAAGAAGAAGGTTCCTCTATTTTTTCTGATGCCAGCACAGAAAAACCTTGAGGCCACCTAGGAAACAGAGATAGGAATTGAGGTCTACCATTTATATTTTTGCCTCTCGATTTCATGGAGCAGCTTGTGTTGTGTGATGCATAATAGAGAATTGAATTGAAGGGAGGGGGTGCACTTGCCTGTTTCATGTATCGATAGAAAAGTAAACTGCATACCTTTACCAGGACGTGAAGGAAGAAGCTATTAAGCCCAGAGAAGAGTGCTTTTTCACTCAGGACTATCTTCCTGAAATCCTGCTGGATAAGAACAGAAGGCTAGGGCCACGCTGACGTAGTTCAGACTAGGACCAACTTTGTGAAGTGAATCTTCAAATCATCCCCATGCTTTTGCTCACACAGTGGAGCCCTGGATTTCTCTTGGGTGAGCCTAGACTAGAAGATGTGATCCAGGAGGGCATCTAGCAGACTCTGACTGCTAACAGGCATTCAGCTCGTGGGTCTGGACTGGTGCTAGTCTAGGGAAGACTCCCCACTGTCCTCATGTGCACTGTGTGGCTCTTGAGTCCGCTGCACCAACTGCTTTGCCGCACTGTTCTACTGCTCCTGCTTGCTGTACCACTAGCATAGCCTAGTTTGCTGCAGACCTACAGATTCTAGGTCTCTGATAACTTTGACTATTATAAGATTTTAAGTTCTGCTGGTTCTGAAATAGGTTTCATCTCAGGCAAAACATTGTTCTATTTCCCACTTCCTATGTATAATTTTAGGTATATGGACGTATAAGGTATAGGTATAGTGTGTGTGTATATGTATATTGCCCCAGGAAATGACAGTCCTGGTTGGACACTTCCTGATTGCCTAAGCAGCTTTTTTCCAACCAGATTTGCCTATCCCACATGCCCTTGGTCATCATGCTTGTAGTAAGCACAGGTAAAGCCCTTCCCATATCTTTGCTAGCAAAGCCAAGCCAAGCCATATATATGTACTTATATATATATATATAAAATATTATGCATATGGGTCTATTTGGAAGCTACATCAACATATATGTGTCCAGGTAACATAGGAGTAAATTCATCCTAGTGCTTCCTCTTATGTAACAGCCTGCCTACCCCTAGCAGCTCGTCTCTCACTGTCACAAAAAGACCTTCAACTTCTTCCTCTGATTTAGGGAAAGAAGTTGCTCAAGCCAGCGGCAGTGCACTAGGCATATGGAGTGGCAGTATAAACACCTGCTAGCAGGAACAACTCCTGATCTGTAAGTGGGGAGGCAGGCTGTTTGTACCTCTCCTACCCTTAGTCACTGGGCACTTTGAGGTCAGTGCTTCATCCATGAAATAATGTGATCACAGCTATGTACAATGACCTGGTCCTCAACTGGATCAGGGCTCCTGTCACCACTGACTGACACAGCTGTGAAAAGATAAAGCAAGGTGCTGACAAGAGAGATACTCTGAGAAACTGTTTTTTTTTAACATAGTATGTAAAAGGTGTGCATTCCAAAGTCCTGCCCTTCTGATTTGTTTATAGCTAGACATATGTCATTGTTTTATTTCCTGCAGTCATTTCCTCTAGTTCCCTGCAGCCTCTGGTATAAAGTAATCAAATAGTAAAATCCAAAGATTACGATTACTCATCTCTTGTTGTGTAATTCCAACCATGAGACTCATCTTTCAAGCATGTTCAATGCTCTTCACACTGGGCAACCTGGTGGCTTCTCAGTCACAATCTCCTGGTAAGTTTAAATCCCCAGATATTTATTTAAGAAATTGATATATTAGTTAACAATATTTCTGTGCATACTTTACCTCATGTGTTACAATATTAATTTATTTGATGAAAAGAATCCACTAAACAGAAATTGATATCCAGCAGAGATAGACGAAAGTAGATTCTTAAAAAATCCCAATAACAATGATGATAATGACAGATTTCTATGAAGTTTCTAATTAAAAATCAGGGCAGAACATGCTAAACTTGTGTCTGTTCTTTAAGTAAGACTTCTTACTGTTGAAGGCATAGGTTATAACAAAATAGACTGTCAAAAAAAGACTAGCCTTCACATTGAACAAAGATGGGTCAAACAGATTCCAGGTAAGACTTCAGTGCTTAGTATTCTGGAAGAATTAACACACTGGGAAAATATCCAGCAATATATTGCACTTGAAAAGCATCAAGACAAAAAAATAATTAAACACTAAATTAATAAAAACATTAAACCCCTAAATATTTCATATGCTTGTCTGCAATGCCATTATTTACAGTTTGCCAAAGATAAATGGATTATTATAGAAATCACAAAGCCCAACACACAGACCGATAATCTAATATTCACTCATGTTAATTTTCCACAAGTTCCCTGTCATTCATTTTATGAAGAGAAAGAGGTACTTTAAAGTTAAGCCTTCTTCTTATCAACCTATAATCAGCTCTCTGTTCTGCTCTACGTACAGTAAGTACTGTTTCTGGCAATGCAACGCCACCTGATTCTTCAGTGTTAATTGGCCTTGTGAGTCATTGGCTCTCCTGTGACAGGACATGACTCTTTGCTGTCCTGAGATGGCAACCACCCACAGGCATGCTGTACTGGTGGCATGACTTTGTGGAACAAATTTTGAAAATTACAGTTTTGAAAATTACAGTTTTGATGCTTAAAGTTGTTGTCATACCTAGCAATGGTCAGCGATTTTCTGAAAAAAAAAACCCACTCAGTTTGGTGGGTTGTAAGGATGTAAAGTTGTACATTATAAGGATTATGCCTTGTCTCAAAATGTCTATAAAAAATTGTCTTGCTGTCTTGTTCCTTTTCTTGAAAAGATGTTTTCTATTCAGCCTGTCCTGTGCATTTAAGTCAACAGTCTTGTGTGCGAAGAGTTCCTCTTTGACTTACATGTGTTCCTATTAATATAATGAATCTGTTCTGATAGACCAGTAGTATTAAGGGTAACCAAAGACTGTAGGCTCAGATCTAGGTTTTGCTCTCCAGTGGTTTCTATACAGTGTGCGTCGATATGTGGAAGTTCAACATGCGGTTACTTATCAAGTTTCATCAGTGTTAGGAAATCAAAAGTAGTTTTTCTTCTTTGTTGTGCTTCAATGAGGTTGCAACTGTTCCAGTACATGCATGTTCCATTCTGTTATCTTTGCAGATTAATATTCTGCCCCTCCTTTTTCTCTTTTTTTTGTTCTATTCCATGACATTCAACCTTTTTACTACGCTCCCCTTCAAGAGTATTTTTTTCTCAGTAATAAACTGTGAAAAGTGGCTTGGAGGTGGAATGTACTTGCTCATATTCTTGCGCATGGTTGTGTCTGCATAATTTTTTGCTCAGGGAAATTTCTTCTTTTCCCCCTGTAAAAGTGCTTTCTCCACACACCATAGTGGTATTTTCCACACCTCTCTGTCTGGAGAAAAGCCCAGCAGTACTTGTGAGGTTAAAACCTTTTGTGGATCCCTTCCAGTCCCAGTCTGGTTTTACCAAAGATGTGGACTTGGATAATTCTTCCTGAAGCTCATGCTGCGGAGTACTGGTATGTGTACTACACCACTGCAGCATACTACATACCTAGACAGACTTGCAAGTCATCCTCAGGCACAAAGTTGCTGCCACACCTCATTAGCCCAGGGACTGCCTATTCATAATATTTTTGACCTTTCCATCTACCCATTATCATAATACAATGAATAATGATGAATGTGTTAGTTTGGTCTATTGTGTGCCTATAGGATCATGAATAGAAGAATGTTTTAAATGATTACAATTATTAAAGAGCTGCTGGCACATTAACTGGGAATCATCTATGGTGTTAAAGGTGGATTAATAAAAATCTCATTTTATTTCTCTCTGTCTCCTTCCATTAAGCAAATATATGAATGATTCTGACTCCAGAAGTATAGGTGTATAAATGCTTCAAAAAAGTAAAAAAAAAAAAGGGAAAGGAAAGGAAAGGAAAGGAAAGGAAAGGAAAGGAAAGGAAAGGAAAGGAAAGGAAAGGAAAGGAAAGGAAAGGAAAGGAAAGGAAAGGAAAGGAAAGGAAAGGAAAGGAAAGGAAAGGAAAGGAAAGGAAAGGAAAGGAAAGGAAAGGAAAGGAAAGGAAAGGAAAGGAAAGGAAACTAACCGCCTTTCAGTTAAAGGCAAAAGAAAGATCATCAGAAAAAAGTTACCATATTTCAGATAACCTGTACATATCCTCAGAGGACTTGATGCCAACTGAATCCAAACTTTTAAAATCTCACTTGGGCTATGCACCTTTCCATGTAGAAATGTGAATTGTGCACCACATACATGCTATAAGTTGAAAAGACACATGAAAATATTTACTGACAATTTATACAAAACACAACTCATACTACATTCAAAAAGGCTACAAAACACATGAAATTAGAAAGCACAGTAGCAAACTGCTCTGACTAGAGCTCTAGAAACACAGTCTTTAATAATAAAAGACTGGTAAAGCCTTTTCTGTCCTACACAGTTAATTATGTTAAAAACTGATTTCATATGAAGTTCTTAAAAACTAGAGCACAGAAGAGAATATGTATTTAGATTATTAAAATTTCTGTTTTATTTCTATTAAGTGGTTCTATTTATTATTAACATATTTCATAATGCATTAGCTTCCGTTTTAGTACATAAATAACTGCAGTTGCTGGAGCTTATATTTAAATGCTAAAATCACAGAGTTTCAATTCACAATATGTAAGGTTCTTACATATTATGTAATCCTAGATCCTAGAAAGATTTATATGTATTGTTAAGCTGATGTGCTCTGAGTAATCCTGCTCAAGTCAAGTGGACTGCTCATAACGTGCAAAGTTCATCACTATGATGATGATGTCCTCACTGCAGGACTGGAGCCAAACTGATATTCTTCCCTGTTATCCAAAAAATATCCATTGCCAACCCCAGGATTTACTGTGCATCTCTGAATTGCAGCCTCTAAGAAGTAGTACAAAGCCATCATACCATGACTGAAAAAAATAATGAGTGTTGTCCAAGGTTCAGAATGCAGTTGTGACTTTTGTTTCCTTCCAACAGACCAGTCAGATCAGACCCTCAGGTTTTATGGCATATCTGCTCCTTAGTGCGTGGAAATTCTGTGTGGTCCCTCTGGATTCCTTATTATTCACCTTTAGAGCCAAACACTCATTGCAAGTTTGAAGAGATCAAACATCCCATTAAAGGAAATTTGTGGGATTCTGGGTTTTGATGCTTGTGTTCTTTTTACACTAGAATTGAGGGTAAATGTGGCACCCTGAAAAAGGACTTCAAAATTTGGCCTATACAGAGAGGGAAGAGAGGATTACCACTTTACCAAAATCTTTACTTTCTCTGTTGTCAGTGTCAGAGTTGTGGGATACATAGTTGCAGTTTCAAGGAGCTTCCCAAGTACACAGCACGTATCTGAGAGGCAAACTCAGTGTAAATATTGGCACTATTGTTTTCCTCAGGTGTATTAAGAAAATAAATAAAATCATGAGCAAATTCTGTGTGCTCTCTCTCACAGTTAATGAACGGGTGCTGTCTGTGTTAATTCCACCACTTTACCTATAAACACAGTTTACCAAATAAAAGTGTTATTTATAGTGCCCAGTAAGATAAAGTTCATGGAGAAGGGCTAAGCAGTACAATATTATTTTACCATGCTGAAATTGGAGTAATGAAACATAAGCCACATATCATTACAGTATTTCACTCCTGGAGGTGTTCAAATCACACTTTTCCTCTCCTTTCTTCTCTTTAGTGGTGTTGCCTACCTAGGTTATAAATGCCCTTTTTCCTTTTCCTCCTTTTTTTTCTGTACGTGTACAGCCCTCTTGACCAAATTGACCGAACACCTTAGAGCAATTAAGGCACTTTTTCATGGTAAATTCTACAAGATCTTCCCAAACATTTATTAAACATTTGACATCTGCAAGCACCTACTCTTCACCAGTAAAGTTACCTGTTTTCCTTACAAGTCCCTTGAGACTTCAGGTACTAGCATTCCTACAATGCTGAGCAACCTGAGACCAGTCTTGCAATGCAAACCCAACCCACATCACTTGCTTAGCACTAGAAATTGGTGCAAGTGGATCTTTCACATACCTGGGCCAACTGCTGCAACCTCACAGCTGGAGAACAATGGGTAAACGCTGCATGTGGAGCCCACCCTCCAAAAAAACAGAAAATTCACTGCTGCGTCTTTCAGTGGGGCTGCCCAGGTGTCCAAGTCCAAGTAAGAGTTTTGAGTTGTCACCCTTCACCTGGTAAGGGTTCTGAATTAGACAGATTAGCCTGGATTAGTTGGCTATGACTCAATTACTGCCATGGGCACAACGGACCTGATTTGGGGAAATTAGTTTAATTTATTGCCAGTCAATTCAGAGTAGGGTAATGAGAAATAAAACCAAACCTTAAAACATCTTCTCCCCCTCCTCCCTTCTTCCTGGGCTTTATTATTTTGAATTCCCTCCCTCCTTCCCACAAGCAGCACAGCAGGATGGGGAATAGGGGTTGTGGTCAGTTCATCACACATCATCTCTGCTGCACCTTCCTCCATAAGGAAGGACTCCTCACACTATTACTGTGCTCCATCATGCAGTTCCTCCCATGGGAGACAGTTCTCCATCAAATTCTCCAACATGAGTCTTCACAAGCTGCTCCAGTGTGGGTCCCTTCCATGAGTGCAGCCCTTCAGGAACAGACTGCTCCAGCGTGGGTCCCCCAATGGGTCACAAGTCCTGCCAGGAGCCTGCTGCAACGTGGGCTCTTCTCTCCATGGGGCCACAGCTCCTGCCAGGAGCCTCCAAAGGCATGGGCTTCCCATCAGGTCACAGCCTCTTTTGGGCATCCACCTGCTGTGGCATGGGGCTCTTCACAGGCTGCAGGTGAAATCTGCTCCACCATGGACTTCCATGGCTGCAGGGCATAGCCTGCCTTGCCATAGTCTGCACCATGGTCTCCATCGTGATCTCCAGGAAGATCTCTGTTCCTGGATCTGGAGCACCTCCTTCCCTCCTTTTGCACTGACCTGGGTGTCTGCAGGGCTGTTTCACTCATTTTAACTCCTTTCTCCAGGTACATCTGCTCCTGTGCAGTAACTCTTTTCCCCCTTCTTAAATACATTATCCCAGAGGTGCTACCACCATCACTGATGGGCTCAGTCTTGGCCAGAGACAGGCCCATCTCAAAGTTGGCTGGTGTTGGCTCTACTGGACACAGGGGAAGCTGCTGGCAGCTTCTCACAGAAGCTACCCTAGTAGACCCTCTGCTACCAAAACTCGGCCATGCAAACACAACAAATTGTGCGTGCTTTCATTTTGTTATTTTGAGATTTTAATTTCAATGTCTCTAGGTTATTTTACTCTCTTTCCTTGCATTTTAGATATTCTTATGTCTTCTTATTTTATGATCATCTGAGTCTATTGCATACATATCTTTGAAATACTGATTGCCTACCAATGTCAAGGGATGTTTCTCATACAAACAGCATTTGAAATCATATTCTCTGTTAATGTCATGGGTAGGTGGGAAAAATGCCATCAGCACCACAATAATCAACTTCAATAATGAGAAGATGCAGATCACATGGGCAGCAAGAGAACTATTTCCTGGAGAGAATGTGTCATTTTCTTATACGTGAGTATTTGTAATACCTGTTCTTTTCTTCTTATTTACTTTGGTAGGCTGAAATATTTAAGTTGACTCTTCTGTGAACTATACCTGAAAATGTTTTTAGCATTTGTTCATCATCCAGCACGAAACTTGTTCATCTTCACAACCTGCTACAGCAGTGTACAAGTAAATAAGCCTGCTGAGCAGCCAGTCACAGCAGACATTATATGAAAGTTTTGACCCTCTCCTGTCAGTGTGCTAAATGCTTATGCTAATTACACTATTGAAAGTGTTTTTTCACATATGTGCATATTTTTCTTATTAACTGACTACATCAATGACTAATAGAAATTGAATGTTTTTGTTTAAGACAGTCACAGAGCGTGATCTTCCCTTTTCATTCTGGGTACTATATGTGAAAGAGCTTTTAACAGTACAATCTTGGAAACAGGTTCATGAAAGCATCTGTTTGAGAAAGTCATTCTGTTTTTTAGAAAATTAAGGAAACTTGATTATTTTAAACTGCATAGAAACCCAGGGCTGGAAAGTCAATGAGGTTTGGCTAATGGATTCCCTCACACTACTATGAAATTTGCTACTTCAAGAAACTCCATATGCAGACTTCCCTTGATAGCAGCATTTGAAAAAGAAAGAAAAGAAAGAAAAGAAAAAGAAAGAATAACAAAAAGGAATTAACTTGTGTTAACTGGTAAGAGTGTTCCATTCACCAATATTATTTCATTCATAGATTTGATGAAAGCAAGTACAAAGTTTGGAAGCCATGTCCCACATACTTGTTGGATCAAGGTTATAATTCTGGATGTCTTTTTAAGACAGAAGGACCCACCCTTGCCATCTCTATCAGGAATAACAATGGAAGTGAAGAGCTTTTTTCTAAAAGACTAAAATCTGATTTTTATAGTAAGTGTATAAATCACAACTACTTTTGTAATCCTAGTGTCTTCACTGATTCTCTAGTTCTCCTTAGTTTAAGAAGAAATCAGTTATACTGGTGTACAAAATATTCTTAGTGTGTGTGTCAAAATAAACTATAGCTATTTCATATTGATTTTCACCCCTTGGGGTTACTAGTAGTTACTCAGACCTGTGTGCAGCTGCAGCTAAATGAGATGATACAGTCAGATTTGTCCCAAAGCATAGTTTAAAAATCAGACCAAAAATACTAAAGTATATGGGTGCGACAAATCTAGTCCAGGCCTGCTCAGTATTCACATCAGGAAAATGAATAAAATTAGGTAGTTTCTTGTCTTAGTTCTGCTTATGTGATCTCATATTTTCAATTTTCCATTCTTTTTTCATCTTCCATGTGATGCAAGGCAGCAAACTACTTATTATTGAAGAGGCTGTCATAAAACCACCATTGGATGACAACAAAATTAGTTGAGTCACTGCGGTAGAGTCTGACAGAATAAAAGACATCCTTCTACTAGTAGAGAAAAGATGTTCCTGTTTTTCCTGCCCCCAGATACATATTTTACATCTAGTGTGAGATTAGTTTGTCAAAATCTTGTGGAATTTCACATAATTACATCATTTAAAGTGGAAGAACTTTTTTTCTGAAAAAATAATGCAGAAAATATACAATGTAGAATTATCTGGAAAAAAAACCAAATATATTATTAACATTTATTATTAATGTTTTAGCAAAAGGGATGAAACAAAAACCTGTCATGGTATCTAACTTTGAGAATGATTTTGGATCTCATAATTTTACCAATATCTGACAAATTATGGAAAGCTGCAGCCCGATCTTCCAATTTTGTCTATTAAATATGCACTGATAGGAAAATGAATTTCAGAAGGGTTAGGTAACAAACCAAAAATATCAAGGATAGGACTTCAGTCTTTAAATTAGGAAGGCAGAATTTTTATAATACAAAAAAGCAACTAGAAGGATTGAGAGAGCAGATAACATTCTTCTGACCTTTGTATTTTCTGCTACTGAAGATTACAAGCTTCATAGATCAAACCATTGCATGCATTTTGGCTCATCTGAAATAGTGAGGAGTATATTCTGTTGTGCACAGATAGGCACCCAGTGTTTTTTGCAGATGCCAGACTGTACCCCACATAGCCTCCAGCATCTGCACAATTGTGTCTTGTAGATTTTATGGTACTGAACTTGTCAGTCCTTTTCCAGTGAGGAAGTCTCTTTCTTCCTCTTGATTGCAGGGAGTATGAGGAGATTATAGCTCTTAAGTACACGCAGTAGATTCCTGACATGAGATAGCGTCTACCTTTGAATGTGGCACCTTGAACTGTGAGCTGTGTCACCATGTCAAACTCCATTTTGATGTTTAATAAGCAGGTGAGCTACAAAAATGCACCCTCCAAGAAGAAAGACTACCTTGTTCACTTAGTACTTAGAAACATCAAGGAAAGAGTAACAATAATTTTAACTGCAAAATACTTCTTTTTAAGAGACTATAGCAAAATTTGTTTCTCTCTTCTTAGTAAAGCCCAATCGACCAGAAAATGTGACCTTCTTCTGGAATGATGACACCGTTACTGTAAGCTGTAATACACCAGAGAGAGCTGTGAAGTGCTTGAGACTTGAGCTTCAATACAAAAGCAAGTTTGACAAACAGTGGCAAGTGAGTTGGATGTGACATTTTTAATCAACATTGGAAGGGAAGTAGCATCTCCAGAGAACGTAAAATAGAGTTGTTTTCAAATTGTTCTCCCATCCTATACTTTGATATATTACTGGTAGTAGAAAACAGTTGGATTTTTAAGAGCCTGGATATCTGTCGTGACAGAAAAAAAATATTTTTTGAGTTATATCTTGTTACCCAAAGAGATGAGGACAATCTAAGGAAAGGTTATACATTCAAAATAGAAGATCTTTTGGAAGAAAAGCAGAATGCAGAGTAGAGAAAAGAAGAGAGAAAATAACAAATAGAATGAAAGAAAAGAGAGGACATGGAATTTTTATTTATTCAGAAATTAGCTGTTAAGTATTTCAAATATTATTTAACTGACTTAAGCTTTCCATTCTTAAATATAACTTGTATATACTTTTTGAAGTGTCTTTGCATATTGTAAATATGCAACTGTAACAGTGCACTAAGTAATGATTGTTGACCTACAACTCAGTATCAGACCATAAGGAATGGATATGAATAGTGAAGAGTCAGTCAAGGAACAGAATTTCTCAAAACTCTGAGTAGTTAAAATTCAGTTCTGAGGTTTTGGGTTGGCCTATCCTTTATCCTTGTTTTGACCATGACTGGGTATAGTATTCTGAAGCACCATCTTGAAAACCAGAATTAATGATGATACACCTTCCTTCTCAGTCCAGAACTTCTAAGTGTTGCAGTGTTGAAGAGCAAGGCTTTGATTCAAGAAAATGCTATTCTTTCTGGGTCAGACTGAAGAGGCTAGTACCCTACTGCAACGTAGTTAATTACAGCAGTGACTGGGAAGCAGAAACATTTTGGATGAATGGCACCTTATTAGGTAACAGTTGTGCTACATTCATATACTGTCTAAGTACAAATGGGGAAGGGGTGATTGCAGGCTGGGACGCTGGGAACATGCTGTAAATTAATGTTGCATCTTTTGTTATCGAAGAAAGTTCATGCGGATGTCTAAATGCCCATGTTTAAGTCGTGTCCATTTTGATCCTGATGGGCCACAACACTCTCAATTTATGCCATAATCAGCAAAGTTGAGTATCATTATCTGTGTTACAATAGTGTCTAGGGTTCAGCAATGACATAGAAGTGATGCATGGGTGTCCACATAAGATATGTAAACATCAAACCTGAACCCTAAGAAAGCCCTTGAAGCCCCAGTTTGAAGTCAGTTTGTTTTGAAAATACATCCAGTTGAACTACAGGACCAGAGGTCATGGAAGTCTGATGCTCATAGATGCATTCCAGCACATTTGTGTCATATCAGCTAAGAACGAAATGCCACCCACTAGGTTTTATCAAAACTACCAGGTGTTCAGTGTACCCAGATCTGAGTTCTCAAACATGCAGTGGGCTATTACTCAGCTGAAGAATATCTGTATACACAAGCTGGTATGAAATCTCAAGTAAGTGTATCCTGTGCATTAGTAGTAGGCATAGTACTGAACTCCAGAGAAACGTCTTTCACCATGCAAATGGTGAACCTGCAAATACGTCCTCTGATGTGGTGGCAAATGCAAGCCAGAAATCAGAAGACGATGTCACCCTGTGCACCTTCTGAGAGGTGCACTCATAAAAGCCCCTAGCAGGCTAATTGTTTAGTCATTCTGGGAGACCCTGGATCTGAAGTGACATTGACACAGCCCCTTCACTGGGGTAAGCACTTCAGGACTTTGATGAGTTCACCCCAATCTAGCATCAGAGGAAGCTCTGAATTTCACAGATTCTGAAGACCTTACTTTCTTTGTGGCTCTCTGGCAAGCTGACGAAAGCAGGCAGGCAGAACAGGCTGGACGGTTTCTTCTGCATGAATAATCATTTAGTTTTTATAGCATTTATGTGGAAAGCAGGTCAGTAGCAGTAGGTAGAGTTTTGAGGTGGCATTACAAAAGCTGCAGGATAAACAATGAGAATGCTAAAAGTGTACAAATGCGTTAATTTTACATACCTGTGTGTTAGATGATATCCTGCCACCAGTTACATTCTGGGCATTGACACTTGTGGTTTGCTGCCTTTTTGTTTGCTGAGATAGATAGGGGAGATGTTGTTTGTTTGTTTGTTTTATCTTGGGAAATAAGACATTCAGGCTACATGTAAAATCTCAGCAGCATTGGTGATTGTGAGTCAGTGTATGTAATATAGATCTTAGCACAAAGCTGCTTATCACTGTCAATGCAATGTGATGAAGATGTGAGAAATATTCAATTCATTCATAATGCACCTACTCCTTGCCTGTGAGCCTGCTCCTTTGTCCTGAACCAGGTCAATTTAGATAAATAAAAACACAATTTTCTTCTTTTGCAAGATTTGGGGAAGGATGGCTTTTCGGTTTCAATAGAATGATTGAACTTGTCTTGTTTGTACTTAAAACTTTTTATTTCTGTTTTGTTTTAAGAGCATTCAATGTTGTATCGTGATTAGAAATACTGTTAAAGAAAAATAACTTTTTCACATACATTTTTGTGATTATTCTTAGGTTCATGTAATGATGATATAAAACCTCAGTCAAACACAGTAATTGTGTTAAGTTTCTTGCTGGCAGCACTTCTAATGATGTTTATCCTCTTGATTCTTCTGTGTCAATGGCAGAGGTAAATATAATTTTATTGGTTACTAATAAATAGCCATGTCATAAAAACAGAGTTATGATTCAGGATCAAGTCTCTTAGCACCAAAATTTTTATCTGATAAAGTCATGTGTGGAGACCTCATAGCAGCCTTCCAGTATCTGAAGGGGGCCTATAGGTATGCTGGAGAGGGACACTTCATTAGAGACTGTAGTGACAGGACAAGGGGTAACGGGTTAAAACTTAAACAGGGGAAGTTAGGTTGGATATAAGAAGGAAATTCTTTCCTGTTAGGGTGGTGAGGAGCTGGAGTAGGTTGCCCAGGGAGGTTGTGAATGCTCCATCCCTGGCAGTGTTCCAGACCAGGTTGGACGAGGCCTTGCTGCCCTGCCCACGGCAGGGGGGTTGGAACTAGATGATCTTAAGGTCGTTTCCAACCCTAACGATTCTATGATTCTATGATTCTATGTGGAAGTCAGTACCTTTATTACTATTTGAAGGATAATGTATACTGGCCTTCCAAAAACTAATCCCTTAAATTATAAAAAACTGAACGGCTCTGTTAAAAGTCAATATTTTGGGATAAAATTCTGTCTCTTCTATTTAATTACTTCTCTTTTTCAATAATCTTGTTAAATTATGAGAAGACAATTAATTTGGTTATTTCTTATGAACTGACATTCTTTTGTACAATTTTCGTGAGACTCAGTGTCTGCTTGCGGTAGGCTGAAGTAAGCTTCAATGCATTTGACTTTAATAAGACTGTATCAATATTTGGATTTGCAGTTGAATGACTGTGTTCAAGTTTAGAATCTACACTTAAAAAAAAAAAACAAAACAAACCAACAACCCACCAAATAACAAAGAACCCTGCAAGGGCCCCAGGTTTGGCCTTTTTGAGAGAAAATTAAACAAAAACCAAAAACTCCCTATCTTCAGAGTTGAAAGTATGCTGGACTCTGGTAAACTCTTCAGATCATAAATTGAGTTTTTTTCTCCTATAATTCTATGTTTCATGTTTGCGTTTGCATTCACTAAGTCAGCCAGTACAGCTGGCTTCTGCACCAAGTTCATGTCTAGGGGAATGTGACCAGGGAATGTAAATCTCTGACTACTGCATGGAGCAGAATTGCACTTACCGGCTAGTTGGAAGTTTGTATAAAGATCAGATTTTACTAGGATGGGGTTGGCTGGAAATCTAGCAGAACAGTCACTCTTAGCCTCATGGTTTTATCACACTGTTATAATTGCTTTTTGACTTTAAAACACATCCAAAAAAACTCAAGCTTAGAGTACTGTCATATAAAATATATTTGTGGCTACAGAAATGTGCTGAATTAGACTTTTGTATGAATGATTACGCTACAACAAAAAGTCAATTTGTATTTTATTTTCCTCTTTGCAGGCTTCAGAAGTCAGTCATGCCTTCTGTACCAGACCCAAAACACATATTTGATGATCTCTTCAGTGACTATAATGGAAACTTCCAGGTAAACTTTGCCATCCTAGCAAGTCTGTAATCTCTGCAGTATTGAGAATAATTTAAAAGTAAATACTGATACTTGCTCCGCAAAGAAAACCCACAGTCTCTGACCCAAGAAAAAAGCCCTTCCCCTCATGCGACATCACCAAGAGGATCCACAGAACAAATACCAGAGCTCATACAATCAGTGTAGTGCTGCTTTATGTTTGTGAAGTGCGGTGATTCTTACTTTTGAACCAGGGTTGGCACTCATGCCTTTGGAGGCATGAGTAAGCAGCATCCTCTCTTAGCCACAGAGGTGTATGGGTGCTAAACCTTTAGACACAAAAAGGATGTCAAATGTATGGGCCACAGTTTTTGCTTTCGTTTTCTTACTGTTCTTGAGTTCATTACATAGCATATGTGATATATTTTTCTGTATTAAATTGGGCTGCCTTCATCTTAATTACTATTAAGTTTCCTCTAAGTGGAGGCAAGTCAAATATTTACATTTTTAAACCCAATATCAGAGAGTAGTAATAATGTTTCAGTGCAAAATGAAACTTTCTATATATAAGATAGCTTTAAACTGAAACTGAAGAAGAAAGAATGAAATGCAAATTAATACTGAAGTTTTAATACAGAAAAGCTATGTTGCCTAAATCTCCATGTAAGCTCAGTCTTAATTTAGATGAAGTCAGGACGTGGGTCAAAGAATGCATGAGTCCGTCAAGGAAGGAATGCCAGGTGTTTAACACATTCAAGGTTTCTTAAAGGCCCTGATTAAATATGAAGTTGTATTTAACGTGGTCTCAATAGCAAATAAGAGTTTGTATGCATTTGTGGAATCCTGCCTGCTTTCCTGCTAGTCTGCTTTACTTGTGTCCTGCTATATTATATCCTGCTTCTCTATATTGCTTCCTTTTAATCTTCTTCACTATGGCTTATCCTGTAAAGGTGCCATATCTAAAGGAAAATCAGTGTCTGTGCAACCAGGTCTCTTTTGACTGATATCTCAGTCCCTGCCAACATCAACATTTTCATTTTCCTAGGAATGGATAGACAAAACTGATCATGCAGTGGTGCAAACCAAGCTAGAATATGAAGAGCCAGAGCGCATCACTGAGGCAGAAAGCCTGCAAGAAGATGAGAAGTAAGGAACACAGGCCTCTAGAAAAAACCTTCACTTTTTCGGGAGCAGCTGAAAATAATGACCCCAAAGAAGCTCAGCTTGCTGTCTGATGCCGATGTCCAACACTATTGCTTCTTTTGCTGGCTTCCAAATTTTAATGAATGATGACATGTATGTGATGTTATAAAATCCACATAATACAGAAATTATTAGGAAAGTACATGAAAGGTCCTGATGAGCTTAGGGGTGTGGCTAAATACAAAAGGTTGTCATGAGTAAATTTGCATCAAGAAAGGCTGTGTTATCTGGTTTCAGATCTGCACTTTCCCAGCGCTTAAGATCATTTGGGTAGGCTCAGTGTTTGAAACAAGGTCCTAATAATTTACAGAGTTAAGATTTATTGTTCTGATTCGGGTTTCTTAGACTAAACAGAGCCACATTTTCCTGTGATGGACAGGAGAGAACAAGAGCTCCTCTGTAATATGGTTCACAGAGCCAAGACTCAGTCCTTGTGCTTATGAAGTACGCAGAGCAATGCAAACTGAACTGTTATTCTTTCCCAACGAAAGAGAAATAAAGGGATTTTTCTGCTAATGGTCCTTGTCTCATGAAGACCGGACCATAATCTGCTCATCTGCACAGTGATAGGATACTGTGATAGGAATACAGTTATAGGATACTCCTTAGACTAGAAGTGCTTGCTTTTGTAAGCTGCTTCTCCCACTGTGATCCCTGTGCTGCACTGCAGGCATCAGAGGTTTTATAAAGAGAAGAATAAGCCCCATGTCTAAGAACAGAAGGCTGAGGATGTACAGTACCGAATCACATTTTATCCTGCAAGTAGGCAGCTTCTTCCACAACAGCAAGGCTTCATAAGCCTCCTCTGAGGTCAGGACCTCAGCATCTTACAGTCTTTGCATGACTAAGCAACTTCTTCTAGAAAGCTAAAGTTAATTTTGATCAATATTTATGTTTAACTGAGTTGCATTTATCAAAAATTGGGGTTTAGTGCAATCAGAAGATGTAGACCCAAATTAGCACTTATCATTTGTATTCCACATACTGGCCTTTTGTTCTCAAAATACGTTTTTAAGTTTTCTAAGAATACTATCTTTTAAAATATGCTTAATTTTAAATTTAAAATGAAATATACTAATTGATTACATTTTAGAAAAAAATCTTGACTAGTCTGAGTTTCCCTCTATCATTTAGTTTACATGATAGTTGAACACAAATTTTGTAAAATAGTTTAAGTGCTAAAAACAACTATGATATGGGTAAGGTCTTGTAGATATGCTGTGATTATATGTTAAATTAGCTCCAACTAGTTACCTGTCATTTACCTATTTGTTAGTCATTAAATTACCTTATCAGTTGACTAAGCTTTTCCAATTGCATACTTTCATAGATTAATTTACAGTGTACCTTGGAAATTTCATGTTATCAAAAAATTACAGCAATGAGTATACTTTTAATTCAGCGCTTAAAACACTTTAACTCCAGAACTCTTTGAGAATAGTAAACAGTAACATGGATCATTAGGTCTCAAGATATGTTTCTAAGTGACCCAGTGTTTAAAATCCAGACATTTTCTGGCCAATACCTTCGAAACTTAGCTGGAAGGATAGTTCAAGCAAATTCCCTAAGTTTCTCTAGACATTCCCCCAGATTTGATTGTTCACTAACAAAAGTAACATCCTAACAAAGGATTTCCAATAATCCTGAAAATGTCTCTGCCTTTTCCTACGTAGAACTGATGTGTTCCAAATTTTTTGGGCCTTTTTTACACCTCACATGTCTGGAAATATTTTATAAAGATAACCATAAAAAGTTTCAACAGCATTGTAAGAATGCAATGGATTTTGAACTAATTCAAGCTGCATAAAATTTGATGAGCAGAAGTTAGCTCAGCTGTTCTCATCTGGTATAAATTAGCATTATTGCATAAGAACCAAGTAAGTTACAGTGATTTACAACAGACAAGAACTTGTTCGAGTAATGGTTCAAACAACAGTGGGAAGTAAAGCTGAGAATGCATTGCTTAGTTACCTCATGTTTGAACCATGCACACATATGGTTGTCTACAGAGCTAGCTAGATACCTTAATTAAACCACTTTCTGTTGAGCAAATACTCTTCTCTCTGAACACAAAATGTTTTAGCATATTTTCCCAAAATTTTACTGTGGAAAAAAAAAAAAGAAGAAAGTCATGCTGAAGTGTGCTCTTTAAGCAATGTTCTTGAACTGAAATGTTAGTAATTTGTTTTTAGTAAAAGCTATTATATCTTGTATTATACTTTAGAAAGATTCTTTTTGTGTATGTATACAACAATAGTCACATTTTATATATCAGACTAGAAATAAAACAAATACAAACCCCACATAACTCAAATATTTATGTTTAAAACATCCCTTTATGAAGAAAAAAAAAACACTGGGAATTGTTAAAATGCAAATTAAAGCATATTTTTTTTCCCCAGAAACTTCCATTCTTGTCAAATTCTAGAAAAATGTCTACAGAATGATGAAGAGCACAATTTAAACAGCAAGAAGTGTCCTTTCCCAAATTTCAATGATGATTTTGTCAAACATTGTACAAGAAGACACGTATCCAAGTAGCAAAACTCATTGCTTGTGGGTTTTGGGGAAGCTGAGGGAACCCAAGCATGTCACTGATCTTTGCTCTCCTGGAAATGCTGTAGCCTATCTCTGATGAGATGTAGAGCCCACTAGCCCTCAGCCACACCAGGCAGGCAATGCTTCCTCAGAGAGGATACCTGGTGCCTATGGCATTCTCTGCCCCAACTCCTGGCATGAACAGCTGGAAGCCAGCACTCCTGGGCACACTGTGGCTTCATGCTGAACCACTGCTCAGTGGAAGATCAATGAAAATATCAGAGTATGAAAATATGAACCCACATAAAAAGTGTCTGAAGGGTGGAACAAAATGTCATGATGAAAATATAATTGTATGCTTTCTACACTAAATCTAAGAAGGTTTAGGTGCATCTGACACTTCAGAGAGGAATACTAGCAAGCCAGATAAGTTTGAGAACACAGTTTTCTTTCAGTTATGTTGCATAACCAACCACCCCAACCTCATTATCAGGTTTCTCTTTTAGGACATACTGAACCAAATAGTTACTGTCTCTTACATAGGCTATAGACTTGTGAGGGTATCACCTTGGACCCAAGCCGTTCAGGAGAGACAGCTGCTTCCAACAAAACTCTTTTCTAAGATTGTGACAAACTGATGCATATTACCTTCCTGTTCAAATAAAAGGCACTTTCTTTACATTATAAAATGAATCTTTCTCATGTATCTTTGCCTGTTGGCCTAATGCTCATTTGACAAGAGAGTGATGGGCAGCTCTGTAGCAAAACTCAAGAGCCTTTGCTCCATGTGGTTTACTGAACAGAATAGCAGACTGGTTTTCTGCTTTCATCTACTGCCACAAACAGTGACAAGTCAGAAAGAGAGCAACCTGAGGCTTTCCTCTTCACCCATCTGACATTTTTCATCATTGTGTCATCATCTTCTGTTCTTTCCACTCTCCTCTCCTCTCCTCTCCTCTCCTCTCCTCTCCCCTCCTCTCCTCTCCTCCTCAGAGCAGGTTTCTACAAATGAGCAAATTAAACAGCCAGACAGGAAAGAGCCTGTTCAACTCCCCACAGTGAGAAGAAGGGTACACAGCAAGTTTCACATCTTCCTTCTTATTTATTCAAAAGTTGTCATGTTCTCCAAAGGCATGAGTTCCTCAGATGCTACAACTTGTTCCTAATTATATCCTACAGAAAGGGAAATATTGTAGGTCTATTGTATGGTAGCTCAGACTAATAGAACTGTATTTTCCCAATAGCACAACAAACAGACTGTATTTATCCCTCATGTGCTAACTATACCAGTACTGAGCCTATTTACCTTGCTAGATGGAACTTCTATACTGTTTGCTTTGCTTTTGATGTCTGAGTTTCAGTGAGAGGAAGAATACGAGGATATCACGTGGGTTTTTTTAAACAAGTAACAGGATGTATTGAAGCCAGTCTAGCAACTTCTGCTTTCCCTCTTTTTTTCTTTTTTTTTTTGTTGTTTCTGTTTTTTCTTTTTTTTTTTTTATTTTTAATTGCATTCGCGTTTTTCAATTTATTTGGAAATACATTTTACATAATTTTCAGACGCTTAATTTTGAGCAGAAAATGGTTGCTTCTTTTGGAATGAGCCTAGAATTGTCTTACAGTGTACTTATAAAAGATTTCAGAACTATCCCTGATTTTTGTTCTTGGTGGCTTACATTTTTAGTTACTAAACTCAGCCATGCAAAATACAGCCTATTTTGCTTTTCCCTTTTTCCAAAAAATTACATGAGCTGCAAAGATGACAACGGAGGGTCACACTCTCTGAAAGTTTGGAACACTGAACTAGATAGAATCATACTTTTGGGAAAAGCCATGCAGGTCTAAGCTTGCCAAAATAAGAAGGGCAAACAGCATTTTCTACAAGAAAAGCAAACATGACCCTAATTGACCTTTTGTCACTGAGGATCTAAGTAGACACCTACCACTGACTAATCTATTTGCCGAAAACCCAGTATTATACAATAGGAGAAGAAATGTAATAATAACGTGTCCTCTCCTGGAGATTTCTTGTAACCCTTACAATTTGTGAGATGGATTAGTGTCACCTGCAGCACCTGCTCCAGCTCACTTTCTTGTAGCCAGCTGCTGGCACAAGGTTTTGTGAATTGGAAATAGCAGGTGTAGACTCACTCTGAGCAGCAACTGGTCCCTGTGCGCATCCATGCTCACCATGTAGCAAGCTTAGAGAGGAGCCCCAAACTTGCAACGCAGGAAGGAGCAGCTGTTTGGGGTTTCTCTCTCCTCCTCACCTGAGCTAAGCAAGGACAATGGAGCAGGTGGAGGCAGAGCCTGCCTTCTCTCCATGCGCCGCAGCCCTGAAGAGGCTCTGTCATGGGCTGCAGATGGACAAGCCTGTGTCTCTTTCTGAGTGAAATACCACCATTTCTCTGCCAAATCAAAATCCCTGAGATTAGTGATTGGATTCTTGCCCACTCGCTCCATAGCTGGAGTTTCTGGTCTCCTAAACATGAAGGATGCGTGTGATAAAGAAACAATAAGCACCATATTAAAAAAATATAGTATATATCTAGTCAGGTTGAAAACATTAGCAGAAGAGGAACCAGAGGAATATGGTTTTTTTCTGAATGATATTACATTTATACAAAATAGAAGAGGAACAAATGCTGTCTCATGGCTCTATTTGGCTTTCTTCCTCTGTTTTCTTTGTATTATAGAATCACATGACGGGTTGTGTTGGAAAGGACCTTAAGATCATCTAGTTCTAACCTCCCTGCCATGGGCAGGGGTGCCTCATACTAGATCAGGTTGCTCAAAGGCTAATCCAACCTTGCCTTCAACACTGCCAGGGATGGAGCAGTAAGAACTGGACAGCCTGTTCCAGTGCCTCACCACCCTCACAGTAAAGAACTTCTTCCTTATATCTAACTTGAACTTCCCCTGTTTAAATTTAAACCTTGTGCTATTGCTACAGTCCCTGGTGAAGAGTCCCTCTCTGGCAACCTCGTAGGCCCCCTTCTGATGCTGTAAGGCTGCTATGTGGTCTCCAAGGATCACCATTTTTTGATAAATGCTTTCTTGCTCTATATTTCTCTTAAAAAGACTTTGGTTAAAAAGTTAAAAAGTAGTGTCTGTCACTGTGATCTGTGAAAGGTTATTAAAAGGAAGAATATAATAAGTTTCAGCTTTTTAATAAAAAAACCCAAGATAGGTTGATAAGTTTTTGGCAATAGGTCTTGTAAGGTCAAGAGGCAGAACGAGCTATGTCCTAACATTAGCTTTCTGCAATGCTAGGTAATTGTATAAATAAAAGCAAACATTTCCGCACAGCCCCCTTAAAGGATGAAATATCCCTAATACACTTGCAGAGGCTCCCATATTCATACAAGACATGTGACTTACTTAGAAATTGTCCCTAGTACATCTCTTATCCAGAGAAGGTCTTAAAGTTGCCAGTAGTAAGGGGGAGAGGAACATGTATTACATACACTGCTATATCTCAGCACAAACAGCTTTTCTTTGTCCAGTAACTTTGTTTAGTGGGATGAAGTCCATGCAAAAAAAAATCAGCCCTGCTTTTAGTGGGCATCTGCATCTTGGGGCTGCAGAGCCATACCAGAGGGGTACAGCTCTTACCCCTCTGAGCCAGCCAGTCTGGAAGAGGTTTGTTTCTGCAAAAGAACCAAGCTTCAAAAGAAGGGTGAGAACAGCATACATAAACATATCATGGTTTTTAATAAGAGGTCCTGTTTAGTACAAAGAAGAGCAGTAAGAGCCTGACTTCTACACATCTTATGAGTCCTCTAGCTGGTGAGCTACAGGGTTAAACAGGGAGAGGGTGAGAGAGGGTCACTCCCCCTCCCTGGTGAGATGAAGGGAAAATTTCAATTTTGCGTGCACAAGGAGGCCTAAATTTTAAAGCTATGTTTGGGCAATGATAACAGTAAATGATGCTTCTCATCTGAATTTCTTAAAGGGTGGATTTTCAAATACTAATTTAATTCAATTCACTTAAATGCATTCATAGAGGCAGTGGGACACCATATCCACTTACCAGTTCACACAGGCATTGCCCAGCATCTCGTGCATATCCATGCAAAACACAGATGAAGACAGCAGAACCAGGCACACCAGTCTGCTACATAAACAATCCCATTTCCAGTGCATTAAATTGTCATAGACCAGATGAAACCAATAGATACAAAAACCTGCCTCTACTTCACAATAAATTTTGCTATGAACAATAATGTTACCACTAGAAAATGGATGTTTTGGGTTTTCTCTCTCTGGAGGTATCCAAGACCTCAATCTCCACTTCCATCCAAAAGATCTTTCATCCAGAAGTTGTGAAGCTCAGCCTTACTGTGGGCCTACTAATACCTGCTCCAACTCTGAGTATGTTCTTTGTGTGCTGAGTTTTCCCAGGGCTTTTTACATAACAACTAAGCAGAGAACGCCCTAAACAGCCTGGTTTCAGGTTTGTGTATGAGTCAGTAGAAAGGCACAATACAGAAAAGTCACTGGAAACAGATGGGTTTTTTTCCTACCATATTCTGCAGATGTTGTTCATAACAAAACTAACACTGAGTTGAGGGGCTTCTTGAGCCATTTTTCCCCTATTCCTTCCAAAATATTTGAACTTCAGTACAAAGAGCAGCAGTAAACAAAGGGTCT